GTTTCATAAAGTTAAATCGGAGAATTTCTTCGAGAAAATTTCTGATACATACATGCTAAATTATATTCACAAAATACAAAAAAAAATTAAATAAAAAAGAGCAACATACACGATTCTTTTTGTTTTTGAATAAATATTTTCTTGGATGCAAAACCTGAGAAATAAATTTTTTTACACCGTTGTTATGTTAAATTTCACAGAAACGAAGATATTCGGTTTTTATTAACGAGAAAAGTATTTTAAGCCCATACAGATTTTTTACAAAATTTGTCCGCAAAAAAAAAAGACAACTAACATATTTTAGTTCGCGGGCCACAAAAAAAGCCTCACGGGCCGGATGCGGCCCCCGGGCCGCCAATTGGAAACCACTGTAATAAATCGACCACGTGGCACATGAAAACGGCTTCATTTAACTTTATTATGAGGAATTCATGGAAACTATTTAGAAATCTTCAAGAAAATCACTTGGAGACGACTACGGAAGTTATGTGATAAGTTAATTAATTCATCACAGATGACCTTCCGCTATCAGATCCTTCCGCTAATTCTTACTACAGAAAATATTTAATTATAAAAATCAATAGGAAGAGTATAGGTAATGAACAATAGTTCCGTTCTAACGTAAAGTGACACATTCATTATAAATTATATAGACAACTCGAGTAACAATAAAATTATCACAGTATAAGTGTTAGTTTATATTCTTCGATTTAATTCTTCGTGTTCTTAAAGATTAACGTAAAAAAGTGGCGCATTTTTAAGATTAGGAACCATCAGGAAAAAAAGGATAGCCTAAAAAATAGCGAGTAGCGCCAGTTGGAATTATAGTAACGAGAACATTTTAAAGTAGAAATGCTTCGTGTTTATTCAAAGAATGCACGTCGACCCCTCGAACCATTAAGATTGAATACGTAAAAATCTCATCATTCGATCTAGAGCAGTGATTCTCAACCACTGTGCCGCCAAATATTGGAAATGATACAATAAAAATTATAATGCTTTTTTTATTACGAGTAAAGTTTAAATTAAAGAAAAGTGTAAACATATAAAATATTACATATATATATATATATGCACATTTTATAATTTTTCCATGCCTTAACCGTGTGAACATCTTTGACGGCGATTGTCTTGTCTCTGACAATCTTAAAATAAGTTAAAATAAGAANCCAAATATTAGAAATGATACAGTAAAAATTATAATGCTTTTTTAATTACGAGTAAAGTTTAAATTAAAGAAAGTGTTTAAATTGTCTTTGACAATTTTAAAAAATGTTGAAATAAGTATGAAATTTAATGATTATTAAAATTATTAATTAAGAAAGGAAAGCAAGCTAAATATTGACTTTCAAAATTAAATAAAAGCTAATCATTAAAGTAAACTATGAAATTAAAAGTTATAAAACAAATTAACAAAGGATAACTACCAAAAAAAGTAAGCTAACAATTAATAATCAGCTAAAAAACTAGTTGACAAGAAATAACAAGAAATAACAGTTAATAGCTGTAGAAAACAAGCTAACAATTAATAACTAGCAAAAAAAAAAAAATAACTGTTGCAAACTAATAAAAAAATTTGTTGAAAGAAATAATTAATCCCTTAATAAACGTGCTTTTGTAGTACATATTATTTTATTTCACATTCAAAATTATTATCACAAACTACTTAACACAGTGTATTATAGGTATGTAAACAACTTGTAAACTAATTTTTTTTCATTGTGTACCGTCAAGTTTCGAAATTGTTAAAAGTGTGCCGCCCCAAAAAAAGGTTGAGAATCACTGATCTAGAGTGATTTTTTCCCGCACTGTTTAAGGCTAAAATTGAATGATTAAAATTCGAAAGAAATCCCTATCTCAAGATTTAACAGAAATTATGATACATGATAAACAGATATTTTGAACCCAATCCAGAAGACGAACTCCTAGATCAAACATTAGGACAAGTTAGCATTCGTGGAAGACTTTATAAGGAACTAACCCACATTTGCATTACATGTAGAGAAAATTGTTGGTGGAAATTTTAGAAAAGAACTTTACTCAAGAAATTTTTTCTGTCGATCCCAAAACTGTAAAACTATTAGATCAAACTCTAAAACTAATCGATCAAATAATATAAAAATTGCTACAGTAGCAAATTGTTTATAGAACATTTTGCTGTCAATAGTTTTTTTTTTTTTAGTTATTTCAGGTCAAAGTTGGAAACAAAATCTAAAAAGTCAAATTATAATGAATTTTAAATAAAGGGTGGAAAATTAGATTTTTAAAGACAGGAAAATAGAACGAAAAAGATATTATAATAGCTTTTCAAAGAACATTTTTTTTTTACATCTTCATAATAGGATCAAAAAAATTCTTTAAAACCCTTAAATTATATGATAGATACATTTGAAACCCTTAAATTATAAGATGGATTTATATGAAACCGATTAATTTTATGAATTTAAATAAACAAAAAAGTAATTCTAAAAAAATTAAAACAACTTTTTAAAACATTTTGTTGTTTATTTTGTATGAAAGGGATTATAAATTTTTATAATGCTTAAATTATAGGATAGATGCATTTGAAATCCTTAAATTATATCATAAATGTATATGAAAGACATAAATTTTAATAAACGATGGGAAATCCTTACTTTTAAGAAGTTAAAAAAATACAAACAAGAAAGCAGAGCTAAACAGTAATTATAACAGCTTTTCAAAACAATTTTATTTTTATAAAAGGGTTCCAAAATTCTTTTTAATCCTTAAATAATATGATAAATGTATATGAAACCTATAAATTTTAATAGACGACTTAAGAAGCTAATGAAATATAGGGAGAAAAGTAAAGAATGCAGTACTAAAAAGAAATAACAGCTTTTCAAAACATATTACTGTTAATATCTGGTCCAAAAGTACTTTTACACACTTAAATTATATGAAAGCATTAATTTAATGTTAAAGGGTGAAAAAGTACTAAAAATAAATGATAAGAGCTTTTCAAAATGTAAATTGTATGATCTAAAGAAACACCTATTTGAGAGATAAAAGTGCTGAGAGAAACGGGATCATCACAACAGCAAAGAGATGCATGCAGGAAATGCCATACAAAACTGGATTTCAATGCCACCGAGTTACTAGTTCAACGACACAATGACTTTCCTCTAACATTTGAAGGTCAAAGCCGCCGCTTACTTTCGAAGGGTTGCCAACTAAACAAATATGATGCAATCACTTCTTTACACCAATTACAAAACACGCACTCCTCTTCAGTTTTTCAAATTCGCATTCATTTGATTGGGAATGCATTTGTATCAGTACATTAGATGAGTGTGTTTATTTTTAACTAAGGAACTAAAAATAATTTATTTCAATCTGGAATAAATTTCACTTCTGATTTTATTGAGTCTGTAAAGTGCCAAAAAAAAATTCTACTACTACTCAAAAGAAAAAAAATACGAACCAATTAAATTCTTATAGGATAAGGAATGAATTTTATTTGCAAGTGCATTTTTCATGCTTAAAAATTACTTTTTGTTAAAACTTAAATGCGTCAAAAACGTTACATTAATTTACATCATTTTACATATATTAAAAATGTTCTTTTTACGGAAAAAAAAATAAATTATATAAATATTTCACCATTTTAAAATCTTTCGTTTAACATATTTTTACCGTTCGTATATTTTATCAATTTGAGGAAGTTAGGAGAAACACATTATGGTTTTTAACTGTAGACCGTCTTTCCAAGACAATTTTAAAAATGGTAATCATAATAATAATAAAAGCAGTGGAAAAAATGGAAAATTTTTTGAAATCGAAATACAAAATTAAACTACATATTTTTGGTGTAATATTCTCTGCAAAATACAATATATATTAAAAAAGTTTAATATATTACAGAAATTTTGTATACAAAAAATTTATTTATAATATGACAATTCATGATAAATATTTATAAAAATGAGTCTCAATACAATTAAAAACATGCAATAGTTGAATATCATATTATAAACCTAATTATTGAAATCTTTAGAGTTACTTAAGAACCCTAAGTATATATTCCCTTCTGTAAACTTCAAATCAATCCTTGTGCATTAATTAAAAAAATCCATAAATCACTTTAATAACAAAATCAATCAAACACAGTTAATCAATAACATATCCTAATCCAAACTAACAATAGAATAAATCAGTTGTAAAATTGATTTAATTTTTAAAATTTCGAACTCAATTGAACTTTTTTTTCCACGACATCAATACAAAAGAACTTTGTCAATATCTAAAATTATTAATATCTTTTTATTTGATACTATCGTCAGAACGATGGATAATAAAATATATTATAAACATATAACGATCATTATTTGATATATCTATACTTATGAACACAGCATTATTAAATATCATTTTATATATTGAGAAACCCTGCATTATTAAAATATATATATATAAGAATCATTCTTTAATACTATCTACATTTCAGGAACAAGGCATTATTAAGTACCTTATAATATTTTTTTTACATACAGCGATTTGTTTTCAATACTATCTACACTTCAGAACATGACATAATGAAATATAATATATTTTTTAAATAAAGCGATTATTCTTTAATACTGCGTACGCTTTAAAAAACGGTATTATTGATACATTTTTTGTATTTTTTTAATACTATTTACAGTTAATTATTGACATCATGTTGTATTTTTACATATAACCATCATTTTACTCTATTATCTATTTTTCAGAATACGGAATTATTAAATATCACAATTGATTTTTCTTTTATTTATTTATTATTTAAGGATCATTCTTTGATACTATTTACATTAGAGAACACGGAAATCGCAATAGATAAAACTGTAAATGATAATTTTTTTAAGTAAATAGTTGTATCCAAACGATTAGAAAAATGAACTGCAAGATCAGTCAATGTCGTCGAACCGGAGAATGATATATTTATACCCTATTCTTAAGGAACAAAGGAATAATAAAAAAATAAGCAATAAACTCACTTTGTTGGTTATTGCACTGACCATAGGACGTGACGTAAGACAATGGACTAGGAGATTCGGTTGTCCTTGAAGGTGCAACTGAAAGAATAAAACCCCACTATGAATTCAATAATTTACATTTACAGATTTTCTCAAAATATGCTATACTAATAACAACTATCTCATACGAACCTAATTTATTCTGACTTAGTTTTAGATTATAGTCTATCCATAAAAAATAATATTAATTTTTTGGCAATTACAAGAACAAAATGATCGACTAAAATAGAGACATGCACAACTTGCGGCACGAGGGCTAACTGCGACCGCTAAGTGTAGCATCCCACCTTTCAAGCTAACATTAAATGAAAAATGATACGTAACAAGAAATTAAAGAGACATTTTGACTTTTTTCTTTTTAATAAAATATTTTTCAGCCCAACTTGTTCAAAACGAACAAGGATTCATTAAAGATGTAATAAGTTATTTATATAAAATAATGATAATTCATATGGATTTTGCCATGGAGAAAATTGAAAACCAATAAAATAAATTCCTAAAAAACAAATTTTAACATCATCTATAAGAATATAAAATAGCAGAACAGAATAGAATTCTAAATATTTTTATATATTTTTATATATATATATTTTTTAATGTTATAGTATAGTAATTATAGTATCCTATAACAGCATTATTATATATTGAGTATTAATTAACAGAGAGAATTAACAAATGAGAAATATTTTTGGTAAGTGATTCATCAAAATTCTCGAATTTCAATGATGTATTTTTGAAGGAACAATTTTGAAGCGAGTATCTTATATTTTTTGAACAATAACAAGGTTCATACTCAAATGGAAGGGGAAAAAAAAGAATTAACAGCATTTTCAAAGAACTTTCTTTAGTGATGTATTTTGGAAGGAACCTCTAGAATTTTTAATCAAGCATCTCATATATTTTGAACAATAACAAGGTTCATACATAAATGGAAAGAAAACAAAATTGAATTTTTTAAAGAAAATTCAGGAATTTTTAGTCTTGAAACTATTAACATTCTTGCAACAGCAAACAATAATTTTTCCCTATGATGCTGCACATTTTAATTATCTTTCCATATTAAACTAAAAACAAGAAATGAAAAACAAACACTTTTTTAGTGATTTATTTTGAAAGTAAGTGTTTCAATTTTGGCGAGACTAACATATTTTTTGACAGAGTTGTATTTGTAAGAGATCAAAACTGATTTTGAACAGGACACTGGATAAAAGTTGTTTAATAAACCAAACATGGTTTGAAGTGGAAAAAGAGAATTATTAAAAATTTGCTTACTTATAATTTTCCAAATTATTTAATAACTGAAACTCTTAATAACTGAAGAGTGTAAGTTAAAAGTTTGTTAATAAAATATGATTAAGCAATAGGAATAGAATATTAAAAATGAACCATGCAATTGCAAAATATAAACCAGTCGCAGTCAAAAAATATTACTTCATTAGATAAATTGATATTACATTTAATGAATTGTGCCACCAGTTTTTCATCACCAAAAACGATTATAATTCACCATAAATTATTGTTATATCTTGTTGTTATGATTGTTACGTTATGATATTTTTAATTAATTAAGACCAAGAGAGAAGAACGGAGTAGCGATAAATGAGTTCTTGATAGAAACCACTTTTAATGCAAAATTCACCATTTCTACTCAACAAAAATACCGATTTCAAAAAATATGTTTTTGTTATTACCTGAAGGTGCTCCTAGTAATCGAGGTTTTGTTTCTTCATTACTTAGATGGCTGCTACTACTGTCAACATCAGACACACCACTATCTGCTGGACTGGGTGGTAATGAACCTAAAATAATTTTTTGTTAGTAAATAGAGAAAGGGTACTTAACCGAACTTTAAAAAAAAATCAAATTTGTTTGTGTTGTCAACCATTGGCCTTTAGCGATTTAAGTGAGAAAGGTGCGCTTTACGTAAGAGGCTGATTAACTTAGAACCCCACTCATTTGTCAGGTCACTTCTACAATTTAAGAGTAGATCTGAAGAAGAATTAAATTTTTCCAGATCCCTGTGCCCATTTTACTGTTCAGCGACCGACCATAGGACTTTCCACAGAATTTACGAACACGTATATCGCGTGTACTCTGCGGGTCTTAGCGGAGTCAAAAGACTGAGCCCCTGCGGACCGATGTCTCAAAGCCACTAGGCTACCAAGATCCATCTCAAATTTAAGCTATTCAATTCACTTTAGTAAACTTCGTTCGATTTTACTAATTTTTTGTATCCTTGTGTATATCGTGTCAGTAAGTAGAAAAAAAGAGCACCGGAAAAAGCACCTCATTAATTATTGTATATACGTACCGACCGATTCGATTCAAATCGTTGAAGCTAAATTTAATGTAATTAATTATTCGAACGTAATTTGATTCTTCTTAAAAAATATTAATTTATAATGATTAAGTTAAAGTTTAAAGAAAGAAACTTTTCCCACTTAATTCCATTTAACAAATTGATTAAGACGCTTCAACAGTTCTAAAATTTTTCTAAATTTTACTAATTACACTTATTGTACTGTCTTTTAATAATATATAAACAACACTTTTTTAATTAAATACTTTTTTTTAAAAAAATTGTATTAAATTGGAATATTTAATTATTTTCGTTTATATTTTCTACCCTTTAAAAGATTGACCCCGAGAGACTATTTACAACTATTTTACGTTTATATAATTGTATTTACAATTAAAAATGTATTACATATTAAAAATTCCGTTGAGTCAACTTCAAATTGAACTTTGTACCTTTATTAAAAAATTACTAATTATGATCCAATAATTATTTAATTGCATTTAATTCGGGTTACGAGAGAAATTGAATCGGATGTTACATTTATATAATAGTAAATGAGGTGTTTTTCCGTTTCAACATGACATTGACACAAAGCGGAAAAAAAGAAAAAAACTGCGTTACCAAATTAAATTTAATTTAAAGATCTGTTAAACATGAAAAAAAAAGTTATTTTTTCTCCCGCTTATTTTTTTTTTTGTCGAAAATGGTAGAAAGGTGTAATAACTAGAAAAGTTTCTTTTTAAGATCTTGGATTCAATTAAGATCTATAATTCAATTTTCTGTTATAGCAATAATATTGCAATGTCAAATCCAAATCCACGTTCTTCGTTACATTAAGAATATTGTAAAACAAAGCGAATTTCTGAATAAATAGAACAATTAAACGTCGCCAGTTTATGAACATCACTCTCCCCCCCCCTCTTAAATTTCATACATGAGGGGGGGGGGCAACGTTAAACTGAAACTCCCTAATTATTTAGGACAGTTTCCATCGAAGCCTACTATAAGTCCTAACTGAATAAAAGGATTTTTTTTTTTTTTAAATCTGTATTCCAAGCAAAGGTAGACAACACCAAAGAGATTATTAATAAAATAATTAAAAATATAATTAAATGGGAACGATTTAAAACCAAAACTGTATTAAAACATTTTTATCATATTAAGAAATGTAAGAATGCATCTGCAATCCAAATTCATTAGTAAATTTATTTTATTCAGTATTTAATTCGACTAATAAAAAATTATATTACAAGATGTTTTAAATAGTTTTAGAATGTTTTATACCAAGTTGGTTCAGCTTGTTTTTACAATTTAATTTTTATAGAAGTACTGATGCTATTACACTTAACAAACTATTTTTATCTAGAACAGCGACTTCAATTGATAAAATAATTTATTTAATGTTAGAGTAACTTTTAGTTAACCAGTGAGCTAGCACACATAAATTTGTCTACATATTTAAAATGATCTAGAATATATTATATTCTACTACGAAATATGAATAGTTTCACATATCCAGATATATCCAAGTTTTCTATCTCAATTGCGCAACTCATTTAAAATTATTGTACGAAAAATCGATTTAATTAAATTAAAGATTAAAATTTTGGAAAAATTCAGATATTTTTCAAAGAAAACCTTTAAAATATCCCATACCAGAGGGGTAGAATACATATTTATAAACTTATTTGTTAATTTATTTATTACTTTAATTAAAATTCTGTCGGACAAAATAATAAAAATAATTCTGATTCCGAAATTTTCATGCAATTATAATATTTGAAACATTTTTCCAATTTAACTGGTCTGAAATAAAAAATTTATGATATCATTGTATTAGGCAGATTATTTTCTAAATCGAGCAGTGATTTCAAGTACAAGTTATGCGTATGAGAAAAGAAAAACGTTTAAAAATACTTAATGAATGGAAAAAGACATAAAACCCAGCAACTGTTTGTTTTGAACAACCTTTTACCAAGTGACATCACACGACGTCACGACTAGCTATGTTGACGTCATATGAAATGAGTAATGAAATAACTTTCTTGCTTCATAATTTCATATTAGCATTAATTTTCTCAGTTCATCATCGGGTTATAAAACGTTTGTTATGCAGTTCTTTTCCCAGTATTATATTTTTTTAATTAATTTGAAAACAATTATTCTACACACATATTCTAGTTAAAACGAGGAAAAACATTTGTGCACAATAATACTATTCAAATTTTAATAATAGATATTGATTTTCAAATTGATAGTCTCAAGTTCATGGAACTTTTAGATTTTATTTTACAATTTATTCCCTTTTTTCTAATAAGTTACGTAAAAATATTATTTAATTAAAAATGCTAAATAAATGGAAATAGTTTTTTTTTAATATATTTCTTTCAGTCAGAATTTTATAAAAAAGAGTGCATTATTAAATTTACATTTGGAATACAAAATACCATTAAAAAAAAAGATTTTAATTTTTATCTAAGTTATTTAAATCGAAATGTATGGGAAGAAAATTTTTATTTCTTTACATGATTTCGAATCTTCATTTATATATAATTAATTTTAAATATTTCCTAATACAGTAAAAAAAATCTCCATGTAAATAGAAATTAATTTTTTTTTTAATTACAAAATCTTGCCTTTTCACTAATCTTCATTATTTCATATTATATAACAGTTTAAAAACATGTCATAAACTAAAAAATACCAAAGTAATTTAATTTCGAGTTATTATTTTAATTTCGCTTAAAATAGTTTCGAAACCTGCTTATTACGAACTTAAAGATGAATGCTAAAGTAAACAATTTAATATGAATCTTAACTATTTTAATTTTATTATTATGTTGCTTAAAATAATTTAAAACGTGAGTGTGAAAGACAAAAATTAATTATGCAAAAGTAAACAATGGGATTTCAATTCTCAATTTCATAATGCATTATATTGCTTAAAAAAAATTTAAAAACATGAAAAGCAAAATGCTCGCTAATATCATCTCATGCGATGCAAAACAAATATCTTATTAATGCAAAAATAAACAATTTATTTTCCCATAGAAGCTAAATCTCAGTTATAGCAATAAAATAGCGGACCAGGTATTCAGGAACCAATGAGAACTTGCAAGAGGGGTTTTGGGGGTCTAAAAGAGGTTGATAGCCTTTCAAGGGTAAAAAGGAGAGAAGGTCACCCAACTTCCCCCTTCAATCCACAAAGAATGTCACCATCAATGAGAAGGATTCAGTTAACCAATATATGACTGTTAAATATTTCAATTCAGAAGTTTTGTTTTTGAGAACGTGAAGTTCTGTTTTTGAAATTTTGAGAAGTTATTTTGGTTAAATACTAAGATCCTATTTCCACGAAATATATATTTTTACAAAAACCGCATTTCTATTAAACCGTATGAACATCTAAATCAAAAATAGACTATCAAAATTAAATTTCACAACGAGTTTTGTAAAAAGATCGTTTTCGAAGTTACGAACTGTATGAAAGGTCCGTTTAAGTTGTTTAAAATTTTGTGAAGGGTATTTTTTTTTAGGCTAAGAGTTTTGTGAAATAAACGTATTTTATTCTAGTCTATGTTTCTCCAAATTCGTAACAAAAAAATTGCAGGTTAAGAATTTATATTTCGAATAGAAATCATAAACAGTTTATGAATTTAGACACTTTCACACTTCTATTAGTTATCGAAATCAATAATCAGTTTTAGATTTTTAAAAATTTTAGAAATCGTAGATTCAGAATGTAGACATTTTTAAGATGGTTATAGAATTTATAAAGAGTTAAAAATGCAGAAATTTTCAGATTTTAATAGTTTTAGAAATAATAGAATTTGGACATTTTTATAATTTTCTGAATTTTAAAAGTTTAAAACTGCTGCGAGGGTTCATTGCTTGGGGCACAGAACTATGATTGCGAAAAACTGGGTTTCGATTCCCAAGAAAGGTTTAAAACCACTTCATATCGATGGATAACAGCTTGCCTAGGAAATAAAGAATGTAGTTACGAAATTGTTGGGCTTTAACTTCCATGATCCCCTCTGCTCTGCGGTGGACGGACTGGAAAAATGCACCTCGTTAGTAATTGAATGTATTTAACAACCGAATCAATTCGAACCATTGAGCAAGAATTTAATGCAATTAAATATTCCTTCAAACGAAAATATAAATATATTTTAAAAAAATAATTAATAAATAAAGATTAATTTAAACTGTTCTAAACTTCAATAATTACACTTATTGTGATATAATTAATATACAAATAATACTTTTTCAACTAGTGATTTTTTTATCAATCGAATTAAATTGAAATACTTTTATCATTTTCGTTAAACTTAACTAATAAAGTTTAATCCCTCCTAAGAAACTTCAGTTAATTGATATATTACTAAAAACAATAATTTGTATTTATTTATATAATTGCAATGACAATTAAGAATATATAAAGTATCAAAAGTTCCCTTCAGTTAATTTCAAATTAAACTTTGCAATTCCTTTCTTTTT